GTAGGGAAATGTTTTTTTTTTCCTAATAATTTAAAAATAATTTTTATTGGTAGCATAATCTTTGAGCAATCAATAAAATGGTGAAAGAAAATATTCTACTGCTGCTGTGGAGCAAAACAGCAGAAAATAGTGGTATCAGATTATGATTGATACCTAACTTCTGTCTCTGACTTTTTCTTTTTTTTTTTTTTTGCGGTACACGGGCCTCTCACTACTGTGGCCTCTCCTGTTGCAGAGCACAGGCTCAGCGGCCATGGCTCACGGGCCCAGCCGCTCCACAGCATGTGGGATCTTCCCGGACCGGGGCACGAACCCGTGTCTCCTGCATCGGCAGGCGGACTCTCAACCACTGCGCCACCAGGGAAGCCAGTAAAGAGACAAGTTTAAGGAGCCCCAGTTTATCTATCACTCAGCTTCAACAGTTATTACCCCTGTAGCTTTCTTTAGTCATTTATTCCCCTCCATATTTTTCCCTGACAGTATTTTAAAGCAAATCATATCATTTCACCCATAAAAACTTAAGTATCTACCAGGATACAGACTTTAAGAACACAATACAACTATCACACCTAATAAAATTAACACTAATTCTTTAATATCTGATGATTCTTTTAATGGTTATTTGATCATAATAGAATTTCATGTTTGGGAGGACTTTATAGTCTAAATCTCATGCAATGCTTGATTCTCCTTTATAGCATTGTTACATAATCATCATAACATTATAAGCAGCTTATTGTGTGTCTGTTATTATGTGCCAGATACTATGCTAGGCACTTTATGTATAATATCATATTTAACCTTTATAATCACCCTTTGAATTAGGCCAGCTCTTGTCTTTCTTTTTTTTTAAATAAATTTATTTATTTTTGGCTGTGTTGGGTCTTTGATGCTGCACGCCGGCTTTCTCTAGTTGCTGCGAGTGGGGGCTACTCTTCGTTGCTGCACAGGCTTCTCATTGCAGTGGCTTCTTTTTTTGCGGAGCTCGGGCTCTAGGTGCATGGACTTCAGTAGTTGTGGCTCCCGGGCTCTAGAGTGCAGGCTCAGTGGTTATGGCGCACGGGCTTAGTTGCTCCGTGGCATGTGGGATCTTCCTGGACCAGGGCTCGAACCCTTGTTCCCTGCATTGGCAGGCAGATTCTTAACCACTGTACCACCAGGGAAGTCCCAGGCCAGCTCTTTTCATATGGTGTTGTTTTACAGACTGCCGGCAGTCTCCAAGATTCTTTTTTTTTTTCTGTGTATTTATTTATTTTTGGCTGCATTGGGTCTTCGTTGCTGTGCATGGGCTTTCTCTAGTTGTGGCGAGCGGGAGCTACTCTTCGTTGAGGTGCGTGGGCTTTTTATTGTGTTGGCTTCTCTTGTTGTGGAGCATGGGCTCTAGGCATGCGGGCTTCAGTAGTTGTGGCGTGTGGGCTCAGTATTTGTGGCTCGCAGGCTCTAGAGTGCAGGCTCAATAGTTGTGGCACACGGGCTTAGTTGCTCTGCGGCATGTGGGATCTGCTCAGACTGGGGCTCGAACCTGTGTTCCCTGCATTGACAGGCGGATTCTTAACCACTGCGCCACCAGGGAAGCCCAGTCTCCAAGGTTCTGTTAAGGGGTCCATGAGGTCAAAATTATTTTCATAATAATACTAAGATATTATTTGCCCATTTCACTCTGTTGAAATGGTGGAGCACAAATCAAAGCAATGGCACCAGACTGTACTACTAGTCATTATATGCTTCACCAACATTCACTTTTATTTTTATTTATTTATTTATTTAAATTTTCCATTGTAGCCCTTTTTAAACATTGGCTTTATTTATTTATTTATTTTTCTTATTTTTGGCTGCATTGGGTCTTCATTGCTGCACACGGGTTTCTCTAGTTGCGGTGAGTGGGGGTTACTCTTCGTTACTGTGTGTGGGCTTCTCATTGCAGTGGCTTCTCTTGTTGCAGAGCACGGGTTTTTAGGCATGAGGGCTTCACTAGTTGCAGCATACGGGCTCAGTAGTTGTGGCTCATGGGCTCTAGAGCACAGGCTCAGTAGTTGTGGCGCACGGGATTAGTTGCTTCGCGGCATGTGGGATCTTCCCGGACCAGGCCGCGAACCCATGTCCGCTGCATTGTCAGGCAGATTCTTAACCACTGTGCTACCAGGGAAGTCCCACACTTTTACTTTTTAACTTGCAGTTAAAAATTAAAAAAAAATATTTTTAAACCTGCCAATTCACTTAAAAATTTTCATGATGAAGCAGTAAAGAGTATTGATTTTATTAAATCTGAAATACATCCTGTTTAATATTCTGTGTGATTTAATGGGAAGTAGACAGAAAGCACTTCAGCTGCATACTGAGGTACTCGTCTTGAAGAAAAGCACGTGTGTAATTGTTTTGCGTTCTCAGCTGCATTAGCCAGTTTTTTAATGCAACTCCGTTTTTACTTGAAAAAGTAACTGATTATTCAGACTTGGTTATTTGGCATACATTTCCTCAAAAATGAAATGAGCCAGTCCTTTAAGGACTGGTAAATGACTGATAGTATTTGTTGCTAATGACAAAATTCAAGCTTTCAAATGAAAATTAGAATTTTGGAAAATTTGTATTTGCCATCATGATCTTGACAGGTTCCAAATACTTAAACGACTTTTCTGATGAAGTTGGTGATTATTTTAATGAATGTCATTCTTTTCTTTTAATATCGTACAATGAAATGTGTCAACATTTGGAAAACTTGCATTACTCAGCCAACCAGTATTTTTCAGATATGAAATGCATGATGTTACAAAATCATGCATCTGTATAAAAGACCCATTCAAACTGCAAGATAGACCAATGGATTTTAATGTAATATGGTACAAAAAGTTCACTGATATGTTTTCAGATTTCACATTGCAACTAACCTTTAGGAAACAGCCATTGTTAAGTTTTGGTGTAGTATCAAAGAAGAATATTTTTAATCATCAATTCTTCCTTTTCCAACTACATATCTGTGTGAGATCAGGTTTCTTCATATATTACAACCATACAAAATATTGCAACAGATTGAATACAGAAGCAGGTAGGAAAATCTAGCTGTCTTCTAAGCCGCACATTAAAAAAAAATTTGTAGGGCTTCCCTGGTGGCGCAGTGGTTGAGAGTCCGCCTGCCGATGCAGGGTACGCGGGTTCGTGCCCCGGTCCGGGAGGATCCCGCATGCCTCGGAGCGGCTGGGCCCGTGGGCCATGGCCGCTGGGCCTGCGCGTCCGGAGCCTGTGCTCTGAGGCGGGAGAGGCCACAGCAGGGAGAGGCCCGTGTACTGCAAAAAAAAAAAAATTGTAAATATGTAAAGCAGTGTCACTCCTTAACTACATTTGGGGGAAATACTGTTATTTTTCACACAAAAAATTTTTCATGTTAAAGCATGAGTCGTTTATTGTTATTCATTAAGTCCCCTACATACAAACGAGTTCCGTTCAGAGAGC